CTAACAGGACCAACAGCCACAAACCCTGTACATGCAGCAAAGTTTCAGGAGTGACTGAAAAAAAAACGGATGAGATACAGGAAAGTCGGTAATGTAGGCTACTGTTTTAGGCATGATGCATTTATATATTTATATATATATATATATATATATATATATATACAGTATATAGTGCTTTCATTGAATTACTGCACACCCAACGTGCCTTACAATCGTATGAGGGGATCTTTCTTCAACCACCACGCTATTACAAGAGAAAGGTATTTATAATCACATGTTGGATGTGATCCTTATGTTATAAAGAGGAGCGATTTTTAAACTAAATTGAAATACTTGGCTGCCATTAAGGCGATGGATATAGGCTAAGCAACTAACCCTGATTGTAAACAAACTATTTCGAAAGTGAATCCTGTATTTATATGCTTTCATCTAACGTTAATCACTAAAAAGCTGTCACTCACTTCAATTTATCACAATCTCACGATTCCGTGAACTGCAAACAATATCTTATTTTCTATGTGTCTATGTGTGGCGTTTAGCATTCAGTGAATTCTGACAGTGTCACCCTGTATCTATTTATATATTTCTTTATTTATATTTTAATATATTATTATCTTATAATAACCATTTGCACACACGAGCATTATCCGGCTTCGCTCCTCCCGACCGCAGACGCATGTTTACAAGCCACTTTTTCCAGCGTTTTTCAGTCAAATTCTTGAATTTTCCCCCCTTATGAGCAACACATTTTTGTACACAATAAAAGCTCCTTGTGGTTTCTCGGTTTGTCCGATTTGAGCATCCATAAACAATGCAAAACACTGGCATTTTGAGTTTCTACTAGTGATTTCTATGGAGAAAAATCACTTCCTGCCCTCCAGCTGCATTTCGCGCATCATCAGAATCACGTGATTGCAAACAACCTATTGTCGCATGATGAATGAACCAGCAGTAATACAAGCCCCAAAATTACTATATTTTATTCCTATCTGATTATTTGACCAAAGTCATTTTTGAACAAAACTGGATTAAAATTGAAAAAATAAATAAACAAATCATTAAAAAACAAAATAAATAAAAAACACTTCCTGAATGATAACTGGGTACCACGTGCTGAATTAAACATGCAATGTGACCGGGTCATGTGACAAATTAAGAGAGATCATTTGACAATGTAGCATATAACTGTTTAAAATATTTATAATTATTACGCAAAAGACATTATACATTAATAGTAAGATGATTTCATTACTCAATGCCAGTTTAATCTGAGTGTGATGACAGTTTACCTGATATGGTCATAGTCCACTCCCTCAAAGAAAGGGTTAGTTTTGATCTCCTCCACTCCAGTGGCTCCAATCCTGTGCTCACTCTCACAGCAGAACCTGGTGGAAAACAACAAAATACTAGGTGAACACTGAAGAAAAACTGACTGCTTAAAATAAGCCATGTCTCATGTAGTTTAGCAGCATGGTTAATGAAAGCAAAATGCTCTCGGTTGAGAGATGAGCTACAGCTAAGATAAAGTAAAAATAATGGTATAGATGGTATAAATACCACCAGATTTATAATGATATAAATCTTAAAATAATGGTATAGAATCACAGCAAAAAAGATGAAAATAAAGCCTTATAAAAAGAAGTGGGAGAATGATAAGTAGCAAAAAGGCTAAACCTGAGGATCAGATCCTTGGCCTTTTCTGAAATTGGGACCTCAGGTGGAAATGTCAAAGTTTCCTGCCAGTTCATCACTTTCCTGTAAGTTTCCTGAGGAGTCTCAGAGCAAAATGGAGGGTAACCTGAAAAACACCCACACAAACTAAACACTTTATATATCAAAATAAACATACTTATTTTATATTTATTAACCAAAAATCGACTCACCTATCAGCATTTCATACATAATGACGCCCAAACTCCACCAATCACAAAGCTTGTTATACCCATTTTGCATAAACACTTCTGGAGCGATGTAGTCAGGGGTTCCAACAGTGGAGAAGGCCTGAAAAAAAACAAATATTTTTATCTCCAAAACTTTTTACTTCTGATGCAACACAAAAAACATTGTGAGATCTAATGAATTACACAAGAGTACATAGTAATCCTTCTTCAGTACTTCTACAATCTTCAACTACCATATTAAGAACACGTTCATTTCACAATAACTTCCTGAAACACTGGATCTATCTGTAGCCACCCACTGTGTGTAGAACAGTATTGGGTCAAGAGGAAACTCTTACCAACTGTCTCCTGTTTCGTTTCCATGTTTCTGCTTTCCTCTTCGAGTTCATGTTCTGGAACGCTGAACAAAAAAAATCAATCCAAAATTACGGAATCAGCCATGCAGCACCTTCATTTTTTCCATCTACAATACCATTCAAATGTTCTGGGTCAGTAAGTATGTTTTTTTTTTGGAAGAAGAAATTCATTAAGCAAGTATGCATTAAATTTAAACTGCTGAAAAGACAGATCAAAGAATGCAGAAAAAAATAATAATGGATTCCATAAAAATAAAGCAGCACAACTGTTTTCAATGTTGGTAATGATAAGAAAAGTTTCTGGAGCAGAAAATCAGGACATTAGAATGATTTATGAATGATCATGTGTTCCTGTCCTTTGAAGACAGGAGTTATGGACAGTGATAAGTCTTACTGAAGTCGCTGGGAAGGCTGTGATTAAGGTTTCTGTAGAACTCTGTGCGGTGAGCTTTCTTCAGACCAGTGCATAGGCCAAAATCAGACAACTTCACGTGGCCCTGAAAGAGCAAAATTATGTTGTGAATGAGAAGCATTCATTAGATCAAGGCTGTGTGACCTACTAGGCTGTTAGATTGAGCTTTAAAGGGGGGGTATAATGCCATTTCACGCATGTTGATTATCTAGATTAACATGAGATTGGGTGAAAATGTGTGTTATATGCCCCCTTTAATGTTTCATGGTCACGTCAGAGTTGCCTATAGGGATATCGCAAGACAATACTAAAAAAAAATGTAATAATATCAGTCTTTCTATAGTATCAGTAGTACTAAGTGAAATGTAACTGGTATTGTTAATGGTATTCATAATTTAATATTGTGACAAACACCTAAATACAACCTGAATTGGCCAAAGTTTCAAAAAACCATCTGGATGTAGAATGGAGTATTTCTGTGCCAAATACACTCTTTCCGGGTTCATACAAATTTTGGAAAGTTTTTTTTCGAACATGGCTCTTCATGACGTTGTGAAGAATGGAGCTCCTTGTATGAGCACTTCTCCAGGAAGAACGCACCCACGCACACATCAACCAGAGCGAGAACAAGAGCATGCCCATAAATGCGCTTCATTCAGCAGCACCGCACGGGACTCGCTCGGGAAGAATGTCTCCAAAGAAGTGTGCTTTTGGTTGTAAGGGAAAAATAACCTTTGTTCAGCTTCCCAAAGAACAAAGCATTATGTAAACAGTGGATGCAGTTTGTTTTTCCGGGGGAAAACAAAGGAGTTTTGCAAGTGTGTTTGTTGATGAACGTTTTATAAACAAGGCCCAGTTCGATGCTGGATTTGCACATCGTTTGATACTGAAAGATGGAGCGGTCCCAGCGATAAAAGATCCCAGTCATGACTCGGAATTGCAGACGGTAAGTAAAACGGCATCAAACGTCTCATCACTCTTTAGCTTTGCCCACGGTGCACCTCCAGGAGCTTGGCTGTTTTCAGAGAGAATAGTAAAGCTGTATCTTTCTTTTATAAATATGAGAAAAATAAAGACTCTTTGGAGATCAGAAGGATGCAATACTACTTTATAGGTACTCAAGATTAACATGAGATTGGGTGAAAATGTGTGTTATATGCCCCCTTTAATGTTTCATGGTCACGTCAGAGTTGCCTATAGGGATATCGCAAGACAATACTAAAAAAAAATGTAATAATGTCAGTCTTTCTACAGTATCAGTAGTACTAAGTGAAATGTAACTGGTATTGTTAATGGTATTCATAATTTAATATTGTGACAAACACCTAAATACAACCTGAATTCCAGAAATGTTAGGACTTTTTGAAAATTTGAATAAAATGAAAACAAAGACTTTCAAATCACATGAGCCAATATTTTATTCACAATATAACAGAGAACATAAATGTTTAAACTGAGAAATTTTACACTTTTATCCACTAAATGAGCTCATTTAAAAGTTGATGCCTGAAACAGGTCTCAAAAAAGTTGGCACGGGGCAACAAAGGGCTGAAAATGCAAGAAATTTGAACAGATTCAGCTGGGAGAACATCTAGCAACTAATTAAGTTAATTGACATCAGGTCTGTAACATGATTAGCTATAAAAGGGATGTCTTAAAGAGGCAGCGTCTCTCAGAAGTAAAGATGGGCAGAGGTTCTCCAATCTGTGAAAGAATGCGTAAAAAGATTGTGGAATACTTGATTGTGACGTTCCTCAACGTCAAATTGCAAAGGCTTTGCAAATCTCATCATCTACAGTGCATAACATCATCAAAAGAGTCAGAGAAACTTGAGAAATCTGTGCTTAAGGGACAAGGCCGAAGACCTTTGTTGGATGCCCGTGGGCTTCGGGCCCTCAGACGACTCCGCATCACTCATCGGCATGATTCTGTTATTGACATTACTAAATGGGCCCAGGAATACCTCCAGAAACCACTGTCGGTAAACACAATCCGCTGTGCCATCTGCAGATGCCAACTAAAGCTCTATCATGCAAAAAGGAAGCCATATGTGAACATGGTCCAGAAGCGCCGTCGTGTCCTGTGAGCCAAGGCTCATTTAAAATGGACTGTTTCAAAGTGAAAAAATGTTCTATGGTCAGACGAGTCCAAATTTGACATTCTTGTTGGAAATCACGGACGCCGTGTCCTCCAGGCTAAAGAGGAGGGAGACCTTCCAGCATGTTATCAGTGCCCAGTTCAAAAGCCAGCATCTCTAATGGTATGGGTGTGCATAAGTGCATACGGTATGGACAGCTTGCATGGTTTGGAAGGCACTGTGAATGCTGAAAGGTGTATATAAAGGTTTTAGATCAACATATGCTCCCCTCCAGACGACGTCTATTTCAGGGAAGGCCTTGTGTATTTCAGCAGGACAATGCAAAACCACATACTGCAGCTATTACAAGTAGTAGAAGAGTCCGGGTGCTGAACTGGCCTGCCTGCAGTCCAGATCTTTCACCTATAGAGAACATCTGGCGCATCATTAAACGAAAAATACGTCAAAGATGACCACGAACTCCTCAGCAGCTGGAAACCTACTTCAGGCAAGAATGGGACCAAATTCCAACACCGAAACTCATAACCTCGATGCCCAGACGTCTTCAAACTGTTTTGAAAAGAAGTGGAGATGCTACACCATGGTAAACATGCCCCCGTCCCAACTATTTTGAGACATGTAGCAGGCATCAAATTTGAAATGAGCTCATTTTGTGCATTAAAAATTCAAATTTGCTCAGTTTAAACATATGTTATCCACGTTCTATTGTGAATACAATATTGGCTCATGTGATTTGAAATTCTTTTAGTTTTAATTTTATTCAAATTTAAAAAAACGTCCCAACATTTCCGGAATTCGGTTTGTAGTTCTAAAAAATATCCTACTTCAAAAACACTTTATTTTGCTAAAGATATTTGATTTTGATGATTCTATTCAAGTACTGTTTAATGTTTTTACCCTTGAGTCCAGCAGGAGATTGTCTGGTTTGATGTCTCTGTGGATGAAGCTCATCTGGTGAATGGAGTCAATAGCCAGCACAGTCTCAGCAATATAAAACTGTGTGGCCTCCTCAGTTAAAGTGTCTTTCTTCATCAGTAGAGTCATCATATCACCTGGGCAATCACACACATGCATATATCAGTCATCCTTTGGAGTGGCTTTAGTACCATCTTTTTGATTGTAAAGGTTTCTTTGAAATGATCTGACATCCTGCACTCACCTCCAGGCAGAAACTCCATGATGAGGTAGAGGTTCATCTTATCCTGAAAGCTGTAGAACATCTTCACCACCCACAGACTGTCTGCCTCTACAAGGATGTCCCTTTCTGCTCGAATATGGCCAACCTTGAACAGAAAACAGAGACCTGTTAACAAGACAAAGAACCTTAAATGTCACGTGTGGTCATACGCGACTCCATCAGTGAAGACTCACCTGTTCTTTCTCAAGCATATCAGCCTTACGCAAGATTTTCATAGCATAAACGTGTCCGGTGTCCTTCTTCTGAACTAACCGTACCTAGAGAAATAAAGAGGATTTTAAATGTGCTAAAATATCACAAAATACACTACCGTTCTGATTTTTTGTTGTGGTTTATGAAAAAGTATTTTATGGTCACCAAGGCTGCATTTATTTCCAGTAAAAACAGTAATATTGCAAAATACCGTTACAATTTAAAACAACTGTTTTCCATTTTAATACTGAAAAAATATATATAATGGTAGAGTACATACAATACACAAACTGCCTCACAGCTAACATGTACATGCAAAAAACAACTACATTTTTTAAATTCATGAGGTCTTTAACAGAAAGAAACTTATACCTCTCCGAAAGCTCCTCGGCCAATCACTTTGAGTGACTCAAAGTCCTCTAATCCAAGCCGTGTTCGCTTGAGACGAAGAAACTCAGTCTCTTTCCTAGCATGCTCAGACCGCCGGAGACACTTCTGCAGGACCAGAAAAAGCAGAAATGAAATCGACCGATCAAAAGAAATTATATTCTGAACTTCTGTGTGTTTTAATATTTAACAAAACCATCAGTATCTAGATCAAGATGTTTGTAAATGTAAGCAAGGAAATACTTTCAGAAAAAAATACCAGTATTTGAGAAACGCTCACCTCTTCATCACCTAGTCCCTCTTGATCCATGACCTTCTCCAATTTTTGCTGCCTGTAACAGATAAAGGATAACTTCTAGACATGTGATGAAACACTAGCACCAAGAGGCAGAATTGCTTCATCACTCCAATGAAAGGTGTGGTCGCCTAGTCTGACATCATTTCAAGAGGGACGGAACAGACCGTCTAAAAGGGCCCCTGGAATTTGGGAGTTTCTTAAAGAAACAATGGGTGATAATGACAGATAGTCGTCTCACCATATTCACTCAAACCTACAGTATGTGATAGGGCTGCACGATTATGACAAAAATCATAATCGTCGATTATTCCCTTGAAATTGTAATTGCGATTATTAATTACGATTATCACAATTTACATTGAATGATGTTTATACCATTGTTTGATGCAACTGCATGCCATATTTTAATATGAAAATAAACAAGCTGAAAACACTAACTGAAAAACTTTGTGCTTTTCTACAGTATTAAGCCTCAAATGACAACTATACATCGGATTGGTTTCTTCTTTAAATTATAAAAAAGTAAAAATATGAATGGTATTATAGTGTTTAAATTAAAACAATGGAAAAACCCTTTAGATAACATGTAGAAGAAGAAAAAAACGCATCTTAAGCACATAGAATAACATAATGGACTTTGAACAATTAATTGCCGCTTTGAACGATTACGTAATTGTGGCATCTATAATTGTAATTGCGATTAGAAATTCGATTAATTGTGCAGCCCTAGTATGTGAAGAATTACATGCATGTGTCCAAATGCTTAGTGACTCATTTAGACCTGCCAAACCTGTTCACTAGCGAAAGTTTCAAAACTACATATTTCTCACTTATTTTAACCAGCACATGGGCTACAACAAATGATCAATGAAAAAAATGGTAACGTCTATACACCTAAAAATAACATTAAGCAAAGAAAAAGTATTTTGCCTTTTTGGGCCTCACCTCATTTCCCTTTCCTCATGCTGTGATATCAGGTTGCTATAAAAATTCTCCAGCGTCACTTTGGCCATGGTGACCCTTTCCTTAGTGTGGTTGCTCATCGAGGAGCAGGACGTCTGACTTGTCATCGCCATGGTTAACTGGACAGGAAAACCATGTTGCATCAGAATGGACAAAATCAGACATGTTTATAACTCCAAAAAGGATACAAAATAGTCCAGGTTGTTTTGACATTTCACAAGTCAGAGCTTTGAATCTGATATGGTTAGATACAATGCCTACCTGTGTTTAATCTATGAGAGAGGTTTTTTAATTTTTCAGATGCCACGAACCCCCAAATACCCCCATTCTTTCCATTACCAGCTTCCCAGGGGCTTCTTGTGCAGGCATTCAGTGAAAGGCAACATTTAACATTAGCTACAACATTTACACTGCAAGCCACAGTCTTTTAACACTCAATCTTCCACTTCCCAGAAACTCCACGCCTGTACGGTCTGACTGGCCCTCTGTTGCGCCGTGGCCAAAACAAGCATTAAATACCGGCTGAAAACGAACATTTGCGTTACACCGCTTGGAAATTCAAACAAACGCTATATTTGTAATCTGACTCAACTTCCACGGCTGATGTGACTGAGACTGAGGTCTGGAAGAGAAGCGGTTTGCAGACAGCAAGGGGAATTTTACTCTGAATAAATCGTCTGACTAATAAAAAAGAAATGAAACCGAGTTGACAACGAAAATCATAATGCCATCTGATGAACAACACTTAATACTAATAAAGTCCATCATGGAGAAACACGACAGACAGAAAAACGGGAAAAAAAACAAACAACGTAAACACGCACACTAAAGTTTGCCAGTGCAAACCCACGCTTTTAGTGGGTTTGTTTATTTAACATTTTTGCAGTTTTACAAGCAATATCAAGGCTAATAAATTCTTACAATTCTAATAATTACAGGCCTAAAGAGAACGTGTGGAAAGTAAAAACACAAGAACTATTCTCAGTTAGTAAGACTGTCAGTCTGCTAGCAGCAGCCGCTAACGTTAACTGTCTGTTCAGACTCATCTGCTCTCATAGCAAAGTGTGAAACGGCTGAGATCCATCTCAATAAGAGCTCAAGCGACTTTGGCAAAGTATAAACAACTACCGAAAACAAACTGTTACTTACTTGTAAACTATGTGCTTGTTTGAAATAATACTTGTTTGCTTACCTTCCACTCGACCTCAAACTGACTTGAGCTAGTGGACGACGACGGACATTATTTCTTTCTTCCGGGTTTGTGCTTGAGTGGAAAAGGGAACAAAACAAAAGTCCCCTTTCTGTCGTCTAAAATGTAATTTCTAAAATTAGATACATTTGATCAACCTTTCTTTGCTTAACTGACCTACTGAAAACAATTATCCTTCATTTCATCCATACATTTTTATACAAAAACCAAATTTGGGTATGCCTGCACACTGATATATATTTTTTAATGTTTTATTGAAATGTAAAACAAGTACTCATTTTGTGAGTAAAACAACAACAACAAAAGAAAGTTCTGTTTATATGGTCAAAGAATAACACCAGGGCTAGTTGTCACACTAAATATTTCTTTTGTAAAAATTTATTATTATTAAGATAAGTTCTTGACAAAAACATAGGGGGAAAAATGTACAGAAACAATTAGATTAGATTAGATTAGATTCAACTTTATTGTCATTGCACATGTAAGGTACAAGGCAACGAAATGCAGTTAGTATCTAACCAGAAGTGCAATAAGCAGTAAGTACAGGATATACAGTGTCTCCAATATGTTACAAATGTACAATAAATATACAGATAAGTATAATAAGTATAATTATAGGCTTAATTAATACTAATATAAGTATAATATAGTTATACTTACGTATAATATAATTATACTTATAATTATAAGTATAATTATAGGCTTTATTAGCTACATTTAAACAGTAAAATAAATATGAACCATAAAACACTCTATTAAACAGTGGCATACAACCCCCCCACCCCCCTCCACCCCCAAAATAAATAACAATAAAAATAAATAATTATAATTATAATGACTAGAAATGTATAAATGTATAACATAATAAAACACATGTAACAGCTTGCCACAATCTGACTCTTGTCGTGTCAGCATATGGTTTTACTGAGTTCACTTATTTGTCCAACAGATACATTACTACAAGATATGGTGATATATTGGAATTTTAGTTTCGAGCTCAGAGTTCACATATTCTGGTTTAAGGGGGTTCAATTTAACACATCACCATCCGAGGGCGCTGTTGTACAAAAAAGTCTGGACACTAGATCAGCATCCAAACCACAACATGCTAGTGACCTGTGGTACTGGGTGACCAGATCGTCATGACAAATTCAACACACACCCGGACAGGTGAGGTACAGCAGCAGAACTTTACACTCTCAGAAAAAAGGCACAAAGGCTTGGGTGGTACCCTTTCAAAAGGTACATTTAAAGAGTACAATATTAGTACCCTGAAGGTAAATATTAATACCTAAAGTGTACATATCAATACCTAAATATGGACATATCAGTGTACATTTCAGTAAATTATATGTATACATATCAGTACCCAAATGTTAGTACCTTTTAAGAGGGTAGCTACCACCCCAGTGACAGCTTTTGTAAAAGTGTACCAGTATGACAAATTACATTTACATTTAAATATTAGATGTGTGCTTTTAGCAAATTTAACATGTCAAGAAAGTTGTGCAAATGAAGATGATCCTTAAATAATGAGGATTTAAAACTTCTAGGCTTCAAATCGGTTTCAAGGGGGAACCTGGATCAATTACCATACTCCCTTTTTTATCTGTCCATGTTAGATGACAGCCTACATAAGAACTGCATGGGAGAATTCAAATATCACCTTTCTCCGCATGAAGAACTTTGAGTTTAAAAGGCATAATAGCTTGAAAACAATTAAATACAAATAGTCAGTCATAGTCAGTCAGTCATATTTATTTATAGAGCACATTTAAAGGCCAAAGTGCTGTACAAAATTAAGCATATAACAAAATACAAAAGTAAACATAGAACACAGCGACAGATAGTACACTACAGTTATGCCACTGCGCTTACTTATGACCATAAGCAACAGTAAATAAATACGTTTTAAGAAGAGACTTAAAATCAGCGTATTGGTGCAGTTCATATATAGGGTGGCAACTTGTTCCATAGCTGTGGAGCAGCCACTGAAAAGGCACGATTTCCTTTCGATTTCAAGGGTGATGACTGAAAAGTTACAGAGAGCATTTTTCAGTCTCTTCTACAACCCTACTGTTTGTCTGCTAAATGCTAAGTAAATGAGCTCCCTTGAAATTCCTGGCCAGAAGCGTGATACTCCTTTGCTGTTCTGCCTTACAAAGCCAAAACAGTAAAAATGCAACAGAAGAGGTGTGTCTCAATTCACATATTTATGCACTATTCTATACTATGAATAGTGTGAGTATGCTCACAATGAAAATTTTGAATTTTGTGTTGGATCACTGATATTGTTCAACTGAAATTCTCAGAATTTGACATGTCTTAGGCGAGTTACCAGAAAATAACAATAGATTATGTTTCCTCCAATATAATAAGTATAGACCATTAGACTTGATAACATCTAGTGTTTTGAGTCCCGTGTAAAGCTTTGTTTTACCCACAAGGCATTACAACAATGCTGTGAGTGAGGCCCACATGTGTTATATATGTTAGTTCCTGTCAAGATGCTAGTCTTTGTGTGAGAACATCCTGTTTGATGACAATAAACACACAACATTTTTAATATCAATCTTTTTATTATAGCTAAAAGTAAACACTTGTGACCAAATGGCCACGTGTCTGCAAACACTGGCATAATGCCTTGAGTGTGTGTGTGTGAGTCTTTCACACTTTGCCTTTGTTTTCTTTATTACTCCTTTAAAACGTATACTTTTGCTGTCCTTAAATGAATTTACAGTACATGTATCAGAATTACATCTTGTGCTACGTGGTGTATAGTCTCGATGAAGATTGCTGGCCTTTAATACAGTAGCTGTATTTGGCAATTCTGCGTCATGCATGTCTTTGAAACCACAATATACATGACAACATGACGTCCAATCAAGCATTACTGAACATGAATACATATGCTGTTTTCATTAGCCTATTGACATGACAATCACTGTGAAAATGCATATTTTCACTAATGCATTATTGTATGCTATTAAGTTTCAAATGAAACATTTTGAAACAAAAACAAATATTGAACAACAGTAAATAAAGAATAAAGTCAACAATACTTTTATAAGTATCATTTAAATTCCTGCCAAACCCATGCTTACATTTGGCCAGCCAAATATTTATAATCTGACATGGTTCAAGATTTTATTGCAAATAGCCTATTATATAATAAAGATTGATCAGAGACAGATTTCTTCTTCTTTTAGTTTTTACTTTTTCAACAAATAGTGAGGTGTTTACAAAAAATGTAAAATAAATACATAAATAAACAGGGGGCTGCCTTGATATAAGCCAAGACAATGTTTATGTCTCTTTCCTATTGAATGGGCATTTACAGAAAGAAAAAGAAAAAACTTTTTTGGTTTCATTTTAGATTTTTTCATTTTAGCCAATGTAGAAGATAACTAATAGCTTAAAAGCAGAATTTATTAAAGATTAAAATAATTTTCACACACTTTCCTTAGACAAACATGACTTAATTAATCAGGAAATTATACATTAGAAACACATGAAATTAATTGTCTTGGTTTTTAAAACCTGCAGCAGAGAAAACCTTTACTTGGACTCAATAAGAGGCTTGACAAGATTAGGCCTCGAATGTGACAAAAGATTGTCTAATATTAATATAAAAAATTCAGCATGTTTGCTTAACATAGTGAACAATGTCTAATGGTGTTTTTCCATGCCAAGCAGAGCAAGAGCTTGCAGTTAACCTTAAAAAAGCACTGATCTTCTAATCCCATTACTTACCACAACACACACACACACACACTTACCAACAATCCCCTGCCTTCTCCCACATACTTTATAACCCCTTACCCAACTTTATACCCCACCCATATTAAACAATCCCCCAAATTGTTAAACATTTCCAACATGAACATCAGTACTCTAATGCCTGAATGTCTTTTTTCGACCATATTATAATTTGTATTCATGCATAAGCATACGCATACATAACAAACCTCTGCCGATTCACTATTTTTAACGTATAAGAGAGTGTTAAAATGGTGGCATCGTGCCAGGGCGTCCCTAAACATAGACACATGTTCACTCCTCCACAGTTAATCTCCTCCCCTCCTCCGTGTCAGGACACAGGTGAGCTCTGAATGTGTTCTCACACAAGCTTGGACAACTTCACTGAGGCAACACAGAAACAAACGAATGAATGAGGACTCTCTGACCTCAGGATACCACGTAGCTACACTTAGAGACTTTTGACATTTCTCAAGGTTTCTCTTTATCCCACAGTGGTGAGTACTTTCTCAACGTCCACTTCCTGCTGGAATACAATGTGTTTGAATAAGGGTGTGTAGGGAGGTTCATTCTGTTTCAATACAGATAAAGTCTTGCATCAGACAGGAGTCATGTGGCCAAGACTTGCCTGACAGGATTAACTTCCCTTGTTTTACAGTTTCTGTAAGGTGTTTTATTCACGTCATGCTTTATTTCCCACCGGTTGTTTATTTTGGCAGTGAGTTGATGGTTTGTCATGAGTAACTTTTGCGTTAACTTCTTTTCCATAGACATATTTTACTTTATGGATGATGGAACACTGTTAAAGTACACTTCAATTGAACTGTATATCTCTTGTCTTTAAACAAGCACATAATAGATTGTAAAGAGTATGATGGTGGTCTTAAATATAATGTTTTGAATGGAGCATTAATTAATTTGTGGCTCTAAAGCTAAATACATTTCTGATATTTTATATTCACTGACTTATTTTGCTAGTAGCTTGACTACTAAAGACTGAAGTTCTGTGCTTGCCAAGCTTTTGGCAAGACTTAACGTACTCAGGGAATTCGGCGTCAAAACCAAAATAAAGCACAGAATGAATACAGACATTTTCCCTAATAAGGCTACTGCTGCCCGTATCCTGAAAGACAGATTAAGACTTAAGAATTTCCTGACCTACAAGAACTGGCACATTTTTCACAATGTTTCCTTGCCATGCTGAGAGTGCAAGCTTAAGAAAAGTTGCATCAGCCATGCTATTTGTACTAAAAGATGCCTATATGATATACACATACAATTCTTGGTTTATCTATAATCATAACACACGTCTCACACTGTGGTGTGTCCATCAACACTATAGCTTCATGCTTAATAACCCTTGTGAAAGAGATGAGCACTTAAATTGTATTCAGTGTGCACTTTAGTGTACTTCATTGTTAAAAAATATTTTTTTTAAATGTTAAATATAATATTAATGAAATAAAAGACCACTTAAGTAAATTAAATTTTTCATGACTGTTTCCACTTTTTAAAAAAGTGCACTTTGTCAAATTAAAAGTTTTACTTTACATTTTAAATAATGTAATGTACGTAATCACATATTAAGTACTTGATTGTAATTTTTTATTGTTAAATAGTTGACCTATAGGCCTGTAATACTTAGAGAAAGCTGTTACCATAGGGCCATGCTAACCAGTAAAACCTTGTCCTCCTGGTTAAGCATCCCGACCAACTAAACACAGCAACAATGGCTTAAACAAAATTAAGAATTTGGAGGCAGAGTTATCCATTCACCTGACCAATGGCAATCGTGTACAGGAAACCTGTGTGAAAACAGTCAGCTGAATTCGCAATAGCATGATACTCTTCTTATTTGGGAAGATCTGAATATATTTAGTTTTTAGGTTACTACTTGCATGTAATTGCACCTCTCATATATTAAAATTATAGTGTATTTTTACTTTGTTTACAGTAATCAAGCTTTAAATACACAGAACTGCAGAGTACTGCCCACAACTAACTTACCAGCCTGAATTTGATGATGAAGGGGGAAATACGCACACAGACACTCAGCTGTTTTCTATCAAGGCTCATCTTTCCATTAGGTGTTTTTAGCATGCAGTAATGCTCTGAAGAATGTTTTTACCATTACTTTTCCCCTGCCTTCTCCTTGACCTTGAAACTATTTACATGAAGGTTATGGTCCTGTTGCACATAATTAAGAAAAATGCAACAAGTGATTGTCACTGATCTCATTGCTTAAGCAGATCTGAGCATGGATCTGCAATTTATGTTCCAGATTTTGGACATTTTTGCACTTTTTTCAGCAAAGCACTTATGTTTCACATTGATTTCAGTTGTCAGTAATATGATCATTTATCCTAGAACCTTTTTCTGTGTTTCAGATTGTGTTGACAGAGCTTGACCTTGCAGACAGTGTTCTTTAGAGGATTGTTAAGCGTTGTACAGTTTAAAATGGAACTACAGAAAACATCAAACGGTCACCATGATCTCAGCCCTGACAGAATTCCTGAGAATGGGTACGTTTCACGTTTCAACATCAACACAAGAGGAACTATCTCAGAAAAAAAAGTTACTGCTTTAAAAGTTCAAAAATTTTACATGACATCATATCTTTTAATTTGTAACCTTTTCTGCCTAAAGCAAAGCTTTGTTTGACAGCTAGTAGGGATCTTAATCTCAGGTGTTAATAGACTATCATTAAATCAGACCTCAGGTCAATTATCTCTTGCATGTTGGTTTAGCCAGTAATGTTATCTCATACATGTATTTTATATATAATATATTAAACCAAATCAATATTTTTATTAATATTTTAAATTACCTTTTTATTTTTATATTTTCCATTTTAATTTTAGTGTAATTTCTAATAATTTATGTTGTCATTTTTATTAGTTTTCGTTTTTAATAAAGTATCATTTAAATATTTTGTTTTAATTTTTATTTCCGTTAGTATCAGTTAGTAATCAGTATGTTATCAGTTAGTAGTTTTAGTACTATTTATTATACATGTTTTCATCTAATATTTTATTTGATTAATTAACACTTTTTTTTATTTTTTATAAAAAGCAGTCCAGTAACCAGGTAATTTGAGCTTGCAGCCGCTGTTTTAAAGGCATTTATTAATACAGCATACCTCACCTGCTAAAAGGTCAAAAAGTGATTCAGTAGCTGCGTCATTTCCTGCATTTAAAAAAAAAAAAACATTTCCAATGCAAGATGAAATAGAGCTCAAAACAGAGCAATTAAAATATATCATTGCTACTTTGCAAACAAAACAAAACAAAATCATTTTGCTTATATTACACAGATTCGATGCCCTTGAAAACATAACAGAGGGTGATACCTTCCTCCCCAATAAGAGCAATGGAAAGATAGAGACTCAGTTTACAGATGTGAGTATCCAGATTTCAGAACTGCCTTCACAAAATCTTATTGTATAAGGCTGAGTGAAACTGATTAGAATGATGTAAAAGACTCACAAACATAGACACTCTATATTACAGTTAAGTATAATGTGTAACAGTAGGAATAACTTCTAACTACTCCGTCCTAATAATTGTTTGTGGAGTTAATACACAGAAAATGTGAATCTACTATTTAAGTTAAAAGAACCTATTCAGATAAATAGATATACAATTCATGACTAACACAACATTCAACTTTCATTGCAGTTTGTGGGAAAGACTTCTTTCGGAATGTCTATTTTCAACCTCAGTAACGCCATTTTGGGCAGTGGAATTCTGGGACTGGCTTACGCCATGGCCAACACCGGAATCATCCTTTTTGTGTAAGTCAAACTACACTTCCAATCAAGCATTTGCATTTAGGTTGATTTATGGTATAAATACATAAGAAAAATAAAGGTTATTAAAGTTGTGATAGTAAAAAATGAGTTCTAAAAAGTACTGTGTGTAAATCGTGAGTTGAAGAGCCTTCTAGTCTTTCTGGTATGTGCTCATAGTTAAAAATGTAAACAGAACATTTCAGGTTCTAGAGAAGTGGAATAAGTCTCTCTTTGGCATTTGGCTGCCTTTTATTCATTAGCTTCAGTTAGTATGGCGGGAATGCGTGTGTGTTCCATATGCGTGAGTGTCTGACCGAGCATTAAGGCTTCTTTGTGTCCACCTGCATTTAGCTGTAGGCATATAGCCATACTCCAGCATGCCTCTGTCACGTACATGTGCCAGTCACAACCAGCCTTACAGATGCTAAGTCAATACAAAATATTTGCATGTTTTTTCTTGGATGATGTATCATGAACTTAGAGGCAGCTGTGAGGAGGAGTCGGGCAAACCCAGTGCTAAAAATTAATTCTTTCAATTTCACTGCCTCCATGTACCATGTTCCTTACAAATCCAGTGCTAGGCTGAATTATCAAGTTCTGACACACTATAAAACAACAAAATAGAGCTATGCTCCTTGATGGAACAAATGCAATTGCTTATCCTTGTGAATGACAGGGTTTTATTTGTGTACTAGGGAGCTTAAATGTCACTGTGTTTGTCTATGATGTGACACACGGACATGCACAGCTTACAGATCAGACCTGAGAGGGTTATAAATAGCCTACTGTAATCTGTAATCAAACCAAAGCCTGTCTCTTTCTGTATCTCTGTCTGTCTAGCTCAGCCAGGCTTTTCAAGCAGCTTGTTATGCAAAGAGAGAGAGAGAGAAGAAAAAAAGAAAAAATGTTTTCTAGTATAGTTTTGATCTCAACAGCTAAAACAACAACAACAAAAACCTTACTGCCAATCAAAACATTCAGCGATATGCAAATAGGGGAAAATGTTAGCTAATAGTACACGTCATTGACTTATTTTGCATGCCTTTACTACAGTCTTTTGTGCGTGTGTGTGTGTGTGTGTGTGTGTGTGTGTGTGTGACGGTGTTGTTGTTAGTTGTACTCTAAAGAATTACACTCCCAGCTTGTCTAATGCGTCATTAATGAGATTAGGGGTTAGATTTGTGTCACCTCTGTCATCTCCTTGTCGACTGGTGATAATATCCCTGATCAAACTGCAGTTTGTGCCACCTAATCGTGATTACATTAGCACTACTGAAAGTCAAATGACCGGCTGATGAGTCTGACAATCTATAAGAAATAATGTTGTGGGAAAAAGATTTCACTGAATATCCATCTACGCAGGTTATTAAATTGAAAGTCACCCAAAAATTACAATTCTATCATCATTTACTCACCCTCATGTTGTTTCAAACTTATTTTTAAAATGTCTCATTTTTTTCTATATACAGTGAATGTCAGTGGATTCCAATTATGTTTTGGAACTCTTTGACTTTCATTTTTACTCCACCAAAGACAGAAAGACATACATGTTTAGAACAAAATGAGGTGGTTAAATTAAGATGAAAATACTTTTGGGTGAACTATTCTCGCAGTCCACATGGGAAGTTGCTTTCTGCTGCTGTTGCTTAGTTTCATTATTTGTGTAACCTGTTTGCAGACTCCTGTTGACAAGCATGGCCATCCTCTCTGCCTACTCCATACACCTGCTTCTGAAGAGTGCAGGAGTGGTTGGTGAGAAATATTTTCTTTTTTTATCTCCAAGACAATCCTGATAACATCACACTCTATGTTAAAATTGCATCATGACTTTTTTCTGAACTTTCCATTCTGTTTGTTTGTGTGTGTAGGGATCCGTGCATATGAACAGCTCGGGAACCGTGCATTTGGTCGACCTGGGAAAATATTAGCAGCAAGCATTATAACACTGAATAACATTGGAGGTAAAATTAAATATATTATAAATTTCATTAGTTACTCACAACGTCAAAAAGACATGACAACTGATAAAGCAAAGTCAGGGATAACCACTTAAAACAATATGAGCACTGAATACAGATGTACTACAACACTCAATGTTTTTTTTCTTTGATCCAACAGCAATGTCCAGTTACCTGTTCATTGTGAAAATAGAGTTACCTCATATTATTCAGGGTCTTCTGCCAGATAACTCAGAGTGAGTACCAGAACACAGTACTGATCCTGATGTGCTGCATACAGTGAGGTTCAAAACTGTAAAAGTTTTAAGATTCTGAAAAAGATCAAACAAATAAACCTGATGTAAAATGAGTGAGAACTATTTTGCACTATAGATTATTTACTATTTCAAGGTCACTAATTCAAATAAGCAAATTTGTGACATTGAGCATGTGAAATCCTTTGTATCAAAGGTCAGGTGTTCTCAATATGGATCCTTCTTAAATTCTAAATAGACTTTGAACCTCACTGTATTTAATTTTTATTTAATTTATAACTCTCGGTGCATGCAGCTAAAACAAAATCTGAAGTGTACTTTCTGACTGCTTTTCATAATCATATCACTCCTTCTGACATATGTTGTGCAAAACATTTACATTTATTCTCTTTGTCAGTTACTGGTTTGTTGATGGGAGGTATCTCATCATTATCATTAGTGTCTTGGTCATTCTTCCCTTGGCATTGATGAAACGACTTGGTAGGTTCCTGCCTCCTTTCATCTCATTCTTTCATTTTGTTTTCTGTCTCTGTCTCTGTCATTTGTCATTCCATTATATTTCATAATAATCACAATCAAACATTTAGCCTACACATCTGCACTAAAGATCTGTGTTGAGTGTACCAAACGCCACTTTTAAATTCAAAGTCGTTTAACATTTACCGTTGCTCGTCAAAATTTAATGGGCGAAGGAATCAACACTATTGGCTTTTCGCTGTACATGCATTTATTATGTATTTATGCATTTATTTTAGGGTATCTGGGCTACACCAGTGGTTTCTCTCTCAGCTGCATGGTCTTCTTCCTCATATCTGTAAGTCCACTTTCGATCCACCTACATACAGTATAAAAACACCAGTCTACATAAATAATGACTGACATGTAGTTATGACAAATAAAAGCATCTCTCTCCATTGTGTCTTATTAGGTCATCTACAAGAAGTTTGTCACAGAGTGTCCTGAGGAACACAGCTATAACAAAACTGTGCCCACTGAAAGCATATACAACTCCACTGATGGCATGTGTGAAGCCAAACTTATAACTATCAACCCACAGGTTAGAAATGTAAACTGCAAATCAGACAATTATTATCATGTGTCCTTTTTGCTTCACATTAAACACAGTTAATTTCATGTGTTTTATTCCTCACAGACTGCTTTTACCATTCCCATTATTGCGTTTGCTTTTGTGTGTCACCCTGAAGTGTTGCCCATTTACACAGAACTCAAAAAGTAAGACTGGAATTGCACTTTTGTTCATTCACATTGGCTTTAAAAATCGTTTTTTTTAATGTACTGATATGTTTGCTTTTTTGTCTCCTTGTTATTTCAGTCCAAGCAAGAAACGCATGCAAAAGGTTGCTAATATCTCCATTTTGACCATGTTTGTCATGTACCTGGTGACTGCCATCTTTGGCTACCTTACCTTCTATGGTAAGAGAAACTTTACAAACAAATAATCAAATAATAAATTATTTATAATTATAAATTAATAAATTGTAAATAATAATACCAGAATTTCAAGGTTTGTGATATTTGAAAAAGTTTTAACAATCACTGTGTGTCTACATCTGTGCAGGAAATGTGAAGTCAGAGCTTCTGGAGATGTACAGTAAAAAAGACACCCTGATGCTGTGTGTTCGGCTGGCTGTGCTGATAGCAGTGACACTGACCGTTCCCGTGGTCCTTTTCCCGGTACTTCAATTTTTTCTGGTTTTCCTGGCTCATTAGTTATTGCTTGCATATAATTCCTCATAATCGTGCTGGTTGGGTGTTGACAGTGCTTCATTGTTTTTCTCTAGATTCGTCGTGCCGTCTTGCAGCTTCTTTTCCCTGATAAGCCTTTCCACTGGGTGCGTCACATCTCCATCGCTGTATGCCTCCTCTTCTTAGTCAACCTGCTCGTCATCTTTGTGCCCAACATTCGTGACATCTTCGGCTTCATTGGTAAATCAGATCTGCCACATAGAGGATTTAATGGTCACATTTAACATAATACAAATACCGAACTGAGCTGAATGATTTTTGTTTTAGGTGCCACATCTGCTCCCAGCCTCATTTTCATTCTTCCGGGAATATTCTACATTTGCATCGTCCCTGAAGAACAGGAGCCGTTGAAATCTCGACCAAAGATCCAGGTGAGAATCAGACAGAATGTAAGTACATTCTCATAGATCTATGGCTTCTTTTTGTTCTCACTTTGTGTTATGTTTTCCAGGCGATTGCATTTGTGACACTGGGTTTCATCTTCATGATTATGAGCATTACGTTCATCATAATAGAGTGGGTCACCGGAAAGAAGACGTCGGGTGGCCACTGAGAGAGCACAACTGGATTCCAACACTTAAAGACCAAATCTAATACAGAACACAAAACTCTTGAACCTGCAACCTCTGCACCAGGTTCAGTTTCATTTAGTTTGATAGATATCAAACAAGTTAACTCCTCAACTTCAGTATGTCCAAAATGAAAAATGGCTAGTTACCTAAATTCAAGAAGAATGCAAAGAAGAGTGGTAACATATGATCTTAATAATAATTAAAGCTATGATGCTCTAAGAACATATTGAAACTATTTATGGAATTTTTAATGAAAGCCAATTTTACACACAAAGGTATTGCTGTTATGACTGGCAAATGGAACTTCCTAAACTACACAATACTGATGGAAAACTGTGAAACTGAGATGAGAATTCACTCATCTATATTGCCAAAGTTGTAAACATGCAGTTTGAAGTCTACCTCCTTCTACACAGGGCAATTTTACAGTTACAGAGTCTGTTTTCTACAGCTCATAGTGCACATTTTGGGGTCCAAAAATCTTTTATTACTGAAAATTGTAGTTTAATACACAATTTTCATTCTAAAAACAATATTATCAACATAACAACAAGTGGAATGTTACAATCTGATGGTCCTAAACAACTTAATTTAATCATAATCTTCAAATATATTTATTTTTTGTTTTGATTTTTATCCTAAAACTAATCCTTTAACATTTTATTTCCAGAGTTAATTTTGATTCCCACATATTCAATTTGGTCTCAAACCTCTGGACCCCACTGCATGTGAATTTCAGTTAATTTCATAATTTCATTTCAGACGCTTTGACTTACAGTGCATTCAGGTTATATATATATTTTTTACCAGTATGTGTGATCCCTGGGAATCAAACCCACAACCTTTTGCACTGCTCACGCAATGCTCTACCACTGAGCCACAGCAACATGAAGGGCAAATGAACAAATTTCATTTTTGATGAATAATAGGCAGTTCTATTATTCAACATTCCTAAAAGCAGTTTATAACATTATTTAATTAGGACGAGTGTACAGTTTTGTGATGAATTCCAGCATCGTTTAAGCACAATGCTTCAATGTCAGAGGAAGAACCTGAAGTTAATGTATTTATTGGTATTTTTTTGTCTTGTTACAACATCAAAGAAATGATGTCTTACAGTACACAATTAGTGTTTAGTGCAGTTCTCGTCACCGTCATATGACAACATTTATTTACTGTTTTAGAGAGGAGAAGGAATATAAATGTCTGAATACTAATTATCTAGTAGTATTCCAGAAACACACAGAAATGTTGTATGTCATTTTGTTTGTTGTATAATTGGAAATACTTTTTGAACATCTTGAAAATGAGCATAGGCTACTTTTAACAAACTTTTAACAAAATGTTGTTGGAATAATTTATTTGTGGTTTACATGGTGACGTGTTTCAGTGACAAAACATTCCACTCCAGAAATGGGCCGGACAATGAATGATGTTGATATTTATTTATGTATTTTTTTGTGAAAGGTCACTACAGCACAAAACGGCATTGATGGGCCTGCAGAATTTATTATCAACCATAAGCTCACTGAAATGTTTCTGTGGTCATACTATGCCCCTCTGTGTTACTCCTCCTCATCAGTATCTGTGAGTTTACATGGACCAGGAGTAAAATTGTTTCCTGCTGGACATTACAACTAGGGCCTACTTTATCATAAATGTCGACATGTATGGTTATTTTGTATAGTCTTGTATGTACATATTGTTTGTGAAATGAAAGAAACCTTCCATTAATTGTACATCAGTGTACATATTCTCTGTACACATTATACATTCTTTTTCTGCACATATTGAACTTGAATGGTGAGAGAAAATGAATCGTAATACTTAACGGATCAATAGTTAGTGGGAAGCTTATTAATAGATTTACATTTAATTTAATTCACATTTCCCCATGATTGTTTTTTTATAAAGTGCCTGACATCAAATAAATGGAAACTACTGTAGCATTCCGCAGTGGTTAATGCTTAGAAATATATGTATTTATTGTTGAACACATTGATCCTGAATAATAAAGTTGAAAGATAGTAAAAACGACTGGTTTTATTATATAAAACAAACAAAAATAAATAAATCCAACCAAAATCCATATATGGTATGTATTTGCAACATCACGAACACAGACTAGTGTCATTTCATTCCCAAATGAGTCTGAATCGTTTGACTAAATGATTAATGTACTCGCTCACAGACGGTTATTTGTCGCCACCTATTGGCGTATCAATATTACCGAATATTTACGGAAAAGTCAGACTGCCCTAGCAACTTTTTTTTCTTCAAAAAGCACCTTGCAACAAATTTAGCTTTTTTGTTGTTGTTGTTTTTTAATTAATTTGGCAACTTTTAGCAACTTTTGAAAAGTGAATCAAATTACAAAAAAGCATACACTTCCCCTCTAAATTACACAAAAGAAAAAAAATATTAATGAGCTAGCCAGCCAAGCAGCACATCAGCCTGTAGAGATTTGAGAGAAGTGCCTAACAGTACAGAGATGACATGTGAATCAAGTTGCTAGCTGCAATAGTTAAAAAATATTTGTTCATTTATGATACACATTGTTTGTTCCTATTATTGGTGATCAGTTAGATACACTGTAAGAAAAACAGAAAAGGCACTGCATATTTTTTCTGTCAGGGCATTATGTGTTAAGTTTACAGATATTTCCTTTAAACACAAAATACAATGCGTAATTTAAAATACAGGTAAAACACCTGTGAAAAATTCCTTCATATTACTTTAACACAGTACATTGTGCCCTATGGACTTTTCCTACCAATACACTGCTTAAAACTAGGCCTATAATTGTTCGGAATGTGTCATTTTATAGTTTATAAGAAAATAGCTACATAAAAAAGCAATTGTTCAAAAATGTGCAACTGTTTAATAATTCAGTGTAGTATTTAAATATGAAAATATCTGATCATAAACACGTGTTTATATTACTTTTACAAATAATATATATTACATTTATATTATTGTTATGAACAAATCAAAATAAACGTATTTTGAATAATATATTGTGTATTCTATGCAATGATGCGGTTTTGCGTCATTGTTACATATTTGATGTAACTTCACAACGTCATGTAGCAACATTCCCTGAAAATTAGATGGCAACATTGATTCACAGTGACAGTCTGTAGGTCGCACAAACGCGGATTATTAGTGGTCTACCCGAAGATACATTGAAATTGGAGCTATCACTGAATTGTCAGAAGCCAGTGGTTCAGGCTATGTTTATGAAATTTGTGCTGTTTATAATTGTGCGAGCATCGAAGGGGAAAGGTCAGGAGCGTGTGGGCAGCTCTCTGCTCAGTCCACAGGAGAATGAGAGGCTGGAGGATCTGCTGGGCAGGAGGTGTATGGTAAGTGAGTTCAAGGGCCTTCAGTAAAAGCCTAAGGGAAATGTACACTCTGCAGAGGGAAGATGGGTAAAAGTGTTATCTTGATGAAATGGAGTGACATCTGTGCAAACCGTGGGCCAAAATTTGACTGCATGCTTTGAAAGCATTTGAAAACACACACTGTCTAATGTGCTTACTTATTTGCCTTTATCACTGTTGAAATTTGTTTTATGGCTTGCAAGATAGTATTAAAAGTTTTACGCAACAAAATGATATTTTCATTTTATTGAAAAAAATTCAATTTTACCATTCAAAAATATCAAAATGTTTTGCAATATCTGAAGAAAATAACTATTGACCATAAAGTTTTACTTTTCTTTTTGAGAAGCTGTCATTTATTGATCGCATTTTTTCAGTGTTTTCCCCCTCATTTATTTCATGTTATCACATTTTCACTTTTTCACAATTTTAAATGGAAAAAGGTTTGCTTCACAAAAGTGACTTTATACTGTATATGGTGAAAATTTGTAGATTTAACAGCAGTACAATGCTAAAAAGCACATTAAATGCAAAACAGTGTAACAGTTTATTCAAATCAGCATTATTTAAATGATTTGAAGTTATGTTTTTCAAAGTATGAAATATCAGTACAATGATATTTTCAGAAGTCCCTGCGTGATGCATTACAGATGATTTTTTCCTTCATTTCAAATACAAATTGTATTTTCTTTAAATATTCTGCATTATAATATTGTAATATTTCTGTATTTATTTTTTTACAGCTGTTTTACCTATATTTTTTAATTTTACACATCATTGCACTGTGTTTTATGGTTACATGGCTCTAAAATTAATATATATCTTAACAAACCATACATAAATGGAAAGCTTATTTATTCAGCTTTGAGAAGATGTATAAATCTTAATTTTAAAAAATTGACCCTTATGACTGGTTTTGTGGTCCAGGGTCCCATTTTAGGTTAAACATAAAAGCTTAAATAGTGAGGACTTACTGTTTTTTATCTAATAGTTGACTATGCTGTCTTCAGTTACCTTACTTTAATTAGATATCTTTATAATAGAAAAAACTCAACTTTGCGTCTCTCCTCAGGACTGTCAAGTGGGGTTGAACTTTGCAGATGTAGGAGAGGCTGAAAATTTCTTTGCTGTAGTGGAGGACAAGATCAGCCAGAGAAATAGTCGTTTTGGTATTCAATTATTTTGTTTTAACAATTTCTGTCAATTCAAACCACTTCATAAATCTGATTATGAAGATTATCTAATAAGGCATCTTACTTAAAATGACTGTTTCATGTTTTCCTCTAATAACATAAAGAGAAACAGCAGAAAAAAGGACAAGAATATAGAGGTAACAACGTGATTTCAAAATCACTGCATTAATTATTTTTCTATTTATATATATATTTTTAAGTGTAGGTTATTTGAACAAGGTGCAAATCAAATTTATATTTCATTTCTATTCTTAGATCATGGAGCTTTGCCACCACTTCCTCGGCCAAATGGTAAATTAATCACTTTTCACACTAATATTGTGCTTGTCTTTTGGGAAACAAAGTATTTGACTGTATTTTAAATATTTTTAATTGACCTTTCATTAACCTTTACTTTGTATTAGAAAACAAGGCAGTCCAATCTGTTTCTGCTGCTATTGTTGTTATTCTTTCTTTTTTTTTTTATATGATTATTGTAAAACATTACATGGCCTGTCATGTGGCCCAATAATAGAGCTAATATTCAACAATAGAACAAATATTCATGTGCTTTCTCTGCCTCTCATGTAAATTACAAGCATTAAATGTTCTGAAAACAATACAAATGTAACTTTGCGTGTTCAGTGATGTATAACTGCATGAAGTGTACACAAATACAATTTATATATATGTGTATATATATATATATATACTGTATATATATTATTGTATCTTCAATCACAGGCTCTGGCATTCTTACCTCTTCTCCCATGCCTCCACTGGTACCAAGTAATATCCAGAACCAAATTACCCCTTCCAAATCAAAGAAAGACAAGAAAGAGAAAGACAAGAAAAATAAAAAGAAAGGATTCAAACTGTTGAAGGGGGATATTGGAGCACCCAGTGGATTCACGTGAGTGAATAAGCAGGTTCACTTTAACCAAGATAAATGATTCTGAAGAGGTTTTTGCTTAGCTTACGTTTATGTCTTGACTTTAGGCATGTCAGTCACCTTGGCATGGGTTCCAACAGTTTGGACCCAGACCTGATGAAACTTCTGTCCCGTGCTGGGATCAGTGAAGCAGATATGAATGACTCGGAAACCTCTCAGCTCATTTATGATGTCATTGAGCGTTCAGGTGGAATAGAGGCTGTTAAAAAGGAAGTGAACGAGCAGGGTAAGTTAAAATGTTAGATTTGTTTTATATTAAAGGGATAATTCACCCAAAAGTGAAAATTCTGTCATTAATTACTCACCATAATGTTGTTCCAAACCCGAAAGACCTTTGTTCATCTTCGGAACACAAATTAAGATATTTTTGATGAAATCCGAGAGCTTTCTGAACCTGCATAGACAGCAACACAACTGACACGTTCAAGGCCCAGTAAGGAACCACTGATGTCACATGGACTATTTTATTGATGTCCTTACTACCTTTCTGAGTCTTGAACATGTCAGTTGCATTGTCTATGCAGGGTCAGAACGTTTTGAGATTTCATAAAAAATATCTCAATTTGTGTTCCAAAGATGAACGAAGGTCTTTTGGAATGACATGAGGGTAAGTGATTAATAACAGAATTTTTGGGTGAATTATCCCTCTTAACGTATTATTTAATTTTGGTTTAGAGTCTGCACGCCCTCCTGTTCCCAGTGGACATCGGGGTTCTCTTTCCCAAGTGCCATCTGGGTTCTCCTCAGCACCGCCACCCCTACCTCAAGGTCGAATGGGGCCTCTACCGCCTGTCCCGGGTCAATCCTCTGGTCCACCTTCTCATCGAGGTTCCCTTCCACCTACACCTCCAAGAGCAGTTGCATCACCACAAACCCCCGAGGGCCGTGGCGGTCCTCTGCCAGCCCGATCCACATCATTAGGCCCCCTGCCACCGGTTCCTGCTGGAGGCCGCACTGGACCCTTGCCTCAACCTCCAGGACTCCGCAGCGCACCTTTACCACCTCCACCTGGAGGTCGGAGTGGAGGTTTACCCCCACCACCACTTAAAGGAGAACGTAAAGAGTCTTTAGCCCCCATTCCAGGAAAGAGACCTGGACCACAAATGACCGAAAGACGAGGTAGCTTTCTGCCGCCCCAACCTGCTGGGGCAGCTCCACCACCACTACCACCGGGTGTGAGGAGCGCACCCTTACCCCCACCTCCGAGAGACAACAGTGAATGTTTGCCACCTCCGCCTCAATCTAATATGCCATTACCTCCTCCCCCATCTGATTTCTTCCCTCCTCCTCCACCTGAAGACTTTGCTGATTCTGTGCCTCCACCTCGTCCATTTGAATCCAACTTTCCTCCCCGAAGCAATTCCTCGGGTTTCGCCCCTCCACCCCCTCCAATCTCAGCCAAACGCAGTGCAGGCGGTCCGTCTCCACCACCTCCTCCTCCTCCACCTCCCGCTGCTCCTCCTCCAGTGAACTTTGGAAGCAATCCCTCATCTCCAAGTGGTCCGCCACCTCCAGCATCCAGCGGTGGTGAAGAGGGTAGAGGAGCATTACTTGCCCAGATACAGTCAGGGATGAAACTCAAAAAGGTGAGTATCTACACTACCATTTTAATTTATAGTTAAGAATGAATGCTGTAATTGATCAAAAATTACTGTAAAGACTTGTCACAAAAATGTATATTTCACTGAAAAAATGCAGCGCAGTTTCCACCAAAATATCAAGCAGCACAATTGTTTTCCACATTGATAATAATAAAAATGTTTAATTTCAGCTTTTCCATTACAGAAATAAATTACATTTTAAAAAATATTATAATAGAAACGTTATATGAATTTGTAATAATATTTCACAATATTGCAGATTTTACTGTATTTTTGGTCTTGTGAACGGCAATGTAAATATTATATTTCCTTGAAAAGGTAAGGTCAAAGCAAGATCCAAGCACAAATAAGGCTCCCATAATGCTAGCTTCTCGTTATTGATAATGTTATGTTTAAAGCATAACACTCTATACAAGCTATATACAGTAATGTCTTTTGCCCAGGTGGCCACCAACCCAGATCCACCTTCACCTGCCCTGGATACAGAAGAGGGAATAGTTGGAGCTCTAATGATGGTGATGCAGAAGAGGAGTAAAGTCATCCATTCATCTGGTAACCACTCAATCACTAGTGTTTTTTTGTCATGTATTATAGTAATTATAAAAGGAAAGAAGTAGTACCTTTATATTATTATATACACAATATATTTTGTAATTAATTCTCAGACAATAAGTTGGTCTGCTGGACCCTGCATACCTATTAACCTTTTACCTTATCTACCATATCTTGTAGAAGAGGATGATGAATTTGATGATGACGAGGACGACGATGAAGAGTGGGATTAATCCTGGTGTAATTGAAATACTTTCAATACATGAACCTAGGCAGTTTTACATGTTTTGGAAGTTAAACAACACTGATCCAAAGCATTTTCTCTAGGGATGCACTGACATTCTGGCCAATTCAGAAAAACGCTGATAAATGGCTAATATTAAAATTCTAGTATTCCTAAACAAATTAAATCAATTTTATTATACTTTATGTAAAATAGATGTTAATTTTGAGATTTGCTAAATATTACATTTAAAAGAGTTGTTTAAATTATATATATATATTTTTGTTTGTTTGTTTGTTTCTTACCTTAAAAGCATTGGATTATGGCAAAGGTAATTGTAAACCTTTGTATATTGTACCAACATATCATGCATAGGTTCTCTCTCTAGTCTCAAGGGTTCTCCATTTCTGAGATGTTTCAGTTGATGAAGATATCTATAAAATCATATAATGTGAATCAGTACTGAATGTATTTACAATATGTAAATATACTAAAATGTGAATTGAAAAGTGAATCTATGACTCACAAATTATTCCTCGTTTATTTATTTTTTTCTGTACAAGACAACATCTAAGAGCAAGACAAGAGTATTGTAATTTACAACCAGACTATTCTACCATTCAACTAAAAAAAGGACACAAATATTGTGAAATATTTCCAGTGTTAGATATTATCTGAGTGAACTGTGACGTTTGTATTCACTTGAAATTGATGATTGCTCAACCAGACACAAAGCACGAAATGCACAGCATAAAAGTGCTATTTCCTAAACAGTGTCAGTCATTTTGAATGCATTTAAATAAATATGACAACATATCTAATTTCTCAATCATGCAAAAATGCCCTCCACCCTGATTCAGTATCCTCAAAGACCATCCCATAAAAAAATATACAACTTCAAATAAATATATATTACAAATGGTGAGAAACAGCCACAGTCGCACAGACATGAAGGCAAGTGATTTCTTGCAAATGCTTGGTGCCATTATTAACCCAGTTACTAGAATCCATACATATATTACTACTAAACATACATACAAAAATGATTTTGACAATTTCATAATCCAGGAGGAACATTAGAAATTGCACTGGCCCAATGACAAAGGGTTTAACAAAGTGGCTTTCTGACGACAGAATAGTGGAACGTTTTCAAAGCTTATGAGGTAATATCCTCTTTAAAAGTGCTTCATGGTTTAGTGGTTGATTTTTTTTATGTTAATTAAACCCAGTATGTAATTACTGAATCCTGAAGGTCATTTATAGCTTAATTTGTGAGTTTAGTAAAAGTTTACACCTGTTTATAATACTGAAATGCAGTCAAATCACTGTGGCGAGTGGAAACGGAAAGTCCTAAATCAACACCGACTTTGGATCAGTGAATGAACAACGAATGTATGATTACATACAATGATCCCAAAAAGGACTTGGACATTTTATTTTTGGGGTGAATGTTCTTAAACGTGATAAAATATCGACCTGCCAAATTCCAAAACAACTGTGTTCAAACCGTGAAAATTAATTTTGAATTATTTTTGGGGACAGTGTTTAAGAAATAACTATTTAAAAAAATAATTTTGAATGAAAATGTATTCCTTTTTATGTTCAAAATAAATTTAAATGGTTAAAAAAAAAGTTTTTGTTTACATAGTATACGTGTGTGTACTGTGTACATTTACTGTGCATATATAAATACACATACATGTATGTATATATTTAAGAAAAATATGTTACGTTTATATATTAAATATATTAATGTATAATATATATTATATGAATATAAATATATACATGTAAATGCACGTAAATATTTTGAAAATATATACATGCGTGTGTATTTATAAATACATAATAAATGTACACAGTACACACACATATACTATGTAAACAAAAACTTTTATTTTGGATGCGATTAATCGCGATTAATCGTTTGACAGCACTAGTAAAAATGCATCGATTTTTAAGTGTCCAACATTTTTACATTTTGAATAATGTAATAATTAAATAATTTTTAATTGTCTAAAAGTATCCAAATAAGTTTTTGGGCCACTGTTCATGAATTATCCGATGCAGGTACATTTAAATGAATACATTTTCATTTTAGGTCTCATTTTAAGTGCATCTTGAACAGCGTAAAAATGTCCATATGGTCCAAAATTGTCCAAATACTTTTTGGTGCCACTGCACAAGTACTAACCTATGCAAGCACACAAACTGCTCGGAGCAAGGGGACAGACAGGTAACTCTCTTTTCTTGTGCTCCTCACTCCCCACTAGCCTTCAGTGCTTCTGTGTGTCTGCGATTTGCACGTTTGGGGAGGTCAGCCTGTGAGTTTCCCCTTGCCGTCAGCTGCTCCCAGTAGGACTGGCAGTACTGCTGAATCAGACGCATTTCTGGCTCCAGCAGGAGAGCTGGGGTAGGAGCTGCGGGGTCCTGGTGACGGCTCCTCGATGCCTCTTCCTCCTCATCAGGGGTGGTGAGGGCTACAGCGATGTCCCGGTCCAGGATGCGCAAGGAAACACGAGCCAGCGTGTGTTTGAAGTTATTTTCTGTGGCCAGGCAATGGTAGAGACCTGCGTCTGCTTTGGTGAGCGTTTTCAGAAGAACCCCCTGAGGAGTCTTAAGAACCTCTCCCTCTCGATGCAGCTGTCAGCAAATAGATGTGTTAATGTTTTTGAAAGACCTCTCAAGCTCAACAAAGTTGCATATATCTCATTAAAATGAACTTAAAGGTTCCATTTTATTAGAAATAAAATAACTTTTCCTTCAGAAATCATTATTGTATGATGATCTGATGCTCAAGACATATTTATTATTTTTGGCTGGTTGGTTGGTTTGAAATGAAGTAAAAGAATGCAATCATACCACTTTTCGTCTTCCCTCTCTCTGGTAAAGCCATTTGATAGTGGCCTGAGGAGAGCGCGGCACACACTCCAGAAACGTGCTGCTACCCTCCACGCCGAACTGAACTTTCTCCTGCAGTCTCCTCTCCACTAGTAAATACAGAAGATATTACAGTCATATGCTGTGTCCTATTATACAAATACATCAGAATGAACTCATTATAATCCTACAGACTATTTGTTGATGACTGTTTTTGTTACCTTTAGCGTTGTAGCCCCGGCACTGACGTAAAGGGTCACCATGTTTAACATCCTGCCTTCTGCTCCTCCTAAATGAAATAATACAAGATATAATCAAACCATGTAATTTTACTGTCCTATTAATTGGGACTCACATAAGCCATTTAAGTGCAGTTTTAAAGAATTCAGGTTCTCTGACCTTTTGGTGGCTTGTGTAAAGGCACAGCAGTTTTCTCCATCCCAGGCGCAGTAGGGGTCTCTGGCCAGGCAGCAGTCTGAACAGGCCTTTCCATATACTCCACAACGGTGCAAGGACATTTGGGTAAGACCTGCTTCTGAAGATGCATACAGTTGTTGCTGCAAAAAAATAAAAAATTGTAATGCCATATTGCTAATACATCTTTAAAAATTACACTCTTAAAAGGTATTAAAATGTGTTTTATTATGTCTTACCCTTTTGGCTGATATGTACATTGTTTTGACTGGAGCAGGTGTCTATAAATAGGGAATAGAAAAGCATATAATATTTTATATATTATTTTTTCACACTAAGACCTACATATATATACTGGCAGCCATTTATGCTGCGGCGCCCGGGGAGCAGATGGGGGTTCGGTGCCTTGCTCAAGGGCACCTCAGTCGTGGTATTGAAGGTGGAGAGAGCGCTGTACATTCACTCCCCCCACCTACAATCCCTGCCGGTACGAGACTCGAACCCACAACCTTTGGGTTATGAGTCCGACTCTCTAACCATTAGGCCACGACTACCCCATTTTTATTAAAACATTAAAATGCTGAGGTCTGAAGATATTTTTTTTTAATAAATATTTACCCTGAAAACTTCCACTTCCTCTAAAGTTAGCTCTTCCATTGTGGTGGGATCCTTGGGCAGAACTATAACTTTTTGGACTGTACCACGATCTGTGGGATGACAGAAAAGTGATACACTGTCAACACAATATGTTTAACAAAACCAGAAGGTCTAGTTATGACATTTTGATAAAATGAGGTCTAAAAAAGAATTACAAAAAGAAACATATTCATGGATGAGTTGTTCACAACAAGATCTATAATACACATTTAGGGCAGAAAGGGACATTTTTATTTCATGCCGACATTAACAACTAGGCTACACCACCCCAAGTTTAACAGATTCACGAAGAAACTTAACTAATGTCAGCATTCAGAAGATGCCAGACTCACCTGTTCCCAGGAAGAGAACCTCGTATCGGCCATCCACAGCATCCACCTGATCCACAGCAATTGTAGTAAAGCGATAGTCTACACCAGAGCGCACCACCAGAGGGCGCTTGTGAATGGGATACACGGGGTGGTACATGAGCGGATGAGCGCGAATGAAGTTAACCGCTTCATCTGAGAACTCTTTTGTGGACTTAAGACCTGGCGTGAATGTGCCTCCCGGACACTGATATGGAAAACAGAGGGGAAGTCAATCAGACAAATGTACATGCTTCTGGGTTTTAAAGAAAACACCCTTTTATAGCCATAAAAGAGATCATAGATCCTGTAAGATGATAAGAAACACACAAGCTTATGCAATAACTAATACTGTGGGTGAAATTTAAAAATTTTCATAAAACTCAAGAGAGAAACTGAATGAATCTCACTGTTCCCGGACGAGGATAGGGAATCTTCCCTGTGTATGTAGTCCATTGGTAGTTGTGTCCGTGTTTATGTGCGAAAGGGCCATTAAAGACATTTCGGATGTCAGCCATTGAGTAGACACACACGGCTGAGCCTTTAAACACAGAACTAAGAGACAAAAACAAGACAGATGAGTAAAATATGGCATCCAGAAACAATAAATCATTTCTAAAATAAAATGAAAACACGAAAAGAAGAATATGAAAAGTCAAAAATTACTATAATTTGACATTCTATGTTGATCTGAAGGAAATATGTACCCAGAAGTTGAGAAGACGCCATACACCACAGGGCTTCGTTCATCCTGGTTGGGTTGGATAAACACGTCCCCTGGAGAGGATGAGAAAAGCATTTCAAAAGTGTGTCAATACTGAGATATTAAGTATGCATTACTGGAAATACAATAGTATTTGCTACATC